TTTGCAACATTACCACTATTTGAGTGTGCCTTCTCTAGTTGAGATTAATTGACAGATTTAGGGCAAAAATGTAACATAGATTATGAAAGATATGACCAAAAATAAAATAATGTGTCTCTCCTCCCCCTAAAGGAGCAATTTTACAAACCTAACAAAACTGTAAATAAATATGCCTATGGACAAAGTAAAAGCAAATTTATAGTAAATGAAAAAAGGGGTTTTTTTCTTGGATAAAAAAATGTGTTTCCTGCCATTTATTTTTGAAATCCTGACAGAAAACACAATAAATCAGCAACACATTTGAGCATTTTTGTGTATTCATATTTTCTGAAGAACTGCAGGATTTTTCTGAAAAAAGATACATGTAGGGTTTATTAAAAATGAATAAAAAATCATATGTAGTAAATATATTTCCTGTGTTGGAAATATGCTTTTCCCCAAAACATATTTTATTCTGAAGAAAAACCTTCCAGACAATGTGTTCACAATGTCTGAATATGGGAAAATAAATACTGTTATTAATATTCTTCTGCAATGAAGAGAAAACCATGATAATTATTAATACTTGCAAGGACAAAATAATCATGGATTTATTCCAAAATAATCATGTACATCCCTATTTCAATACATACAAAGCAGGAAACAGTTTAACATATGTAGAGCTTGGAAATAAATAAGCAATACTGATCTGTCATCAAAGATATTGCAAGAAAATGTTATAGCAGAACTTACGAGATGCAATAAAATTTTCAGTACTTGAAGGAAGCGTTTCTATTTTTTTAAAAAGACAAAAAAGACAAAATTGTAATTCTCATTCTACAGTATAGACAAATTCATGTCTATGTTTCTGATATTTTCATATTTAAATAAAATTAAAGGACCTGAGCAGATAATTCTTTTTTTGTGACAACAGTTATGGACTCCCAATTTTTTAATGGAAGCGTTCTTCAAGAGAGCCATATTTTCATCTGCACTGGCCATAATCCAGGAAGATGCTCCAAAAGCAAACACTGATTTGAGCTTCAACAATACTCCTCCAGAAAAGTAGCCTATACACAATGTGAGCATAATTTCTATCCCAACCATTATTGCAAACAGATCCCAGATCCCATTGCAAGAAATTCAGATTTAATCCTGACATCTGTTCTCTTGATCCACCAATCTCAAGGACACAAGGGCTTGCTGATGCTTCCAATGAAGAATGTTCTGGAAAAGTGGTGAAATATTTAGAATACTTTCCATTTTGTAATAGTTGTTATTTACTCTCCTTTTTGAAAAAAGAAAGGCTGCATAGCCAACATATTTTCCATTTTATAACATATGATATGGATCCTCTCTCTACATATGAAAATCTTCAGCAGTGCTTACCAGTTGTAACACTTGCTTCTTTGGAAGGTACAGGATTTTCTAAATTAAAACATTTTAAAAAGATTTTTAGAAAAAAAATCAATACCCAGTGCTAGATATTTCAAATCTGCTCATTTTGTAGATACCAGATAGTGCTTACCAGACTATTTCCTTTCTCTCTTCCCACTACTTGCCTAGTGATGTCCTATTGAAGAGAACCATCTCATGCAAAACTTACAAGATCTCCTTAGGGACAATGTAGGGTAGGAAAAAAAAGACCATGCACTACAAGCAGGTATGTGGAGCAATTGTCAATGGAATAAAGAGGGAGGAGTTAGAGTATCTGGAGATTAACTCTCCTCTGACTCCACTCCTTCCTTCAGTGTAGTCAGAGGAGATTTAAGATTACTTTCAATTTTATATTTGATATTGTTTATCTCCTTTT